ATTTTTCCTTCATTGACTGGCTTATTTCACTTAGCATAATGCTCTCCAGCTCCATCCATGCCGTTGCAAATGGTAAGAGTTCCTTCTTTTTTACAGCAGCATAGTATTCCATCATGTAGATGTACCACAGTTTTCTAATCCATTCATCTACTGATGGGCACTTAGGCTGTTTCCAGATCTTAGCTATGGTGAATTGTGCTGCTATGAACATATGGGTGCACATATCCTTTCTGATTGGTGTTTCTGGTTTCTTGGAATATATTCCTAGAAGTGGGATCACAGGGTCAAATGGGATTTCCATTTTTAGTTTTTTGAGGAAACTCCATACTGTCTTCCATAGTGGCTGCACCAGTCTGCATTCCCACCAGCAGTGCACAAGTGTTCCTTTTTCTCCACATCCTCTCCAGCACTTGTCGTTTGTTGATTTGTTGATGATGGCCAGTCTGACAGGTGTGAGATGGTACCTCATTGTTGTTTTGATTTGCATCTCTCGGATGATTAGTGACTTTGAGCATGTTTTCATATGTCTCTTGGCTTTCTGAATGTCCTCTTTTGAAAGGTGTCTATTTAGATGCTTTGCCCATTTTTTGATTGGATTGCTTATCTTCCTTTTGTTAAGTTGTATGAGTTCCCTATAGATTTTGGAGATTAGGCCCTTATCAGATATGACATTGGCAAATATGTTTTCCCACGAGGTGGGGTTTCTCCTTGTTTTGTTGATGGTTTCTTTTGCTGTGCAGAAGCTTTTTATTTTGACGTAGTCCCATTTGTCCATTTTCTCTTTAGTTTCAAGTGCCTTAGGAGCTGTATCAGTGAAGAAATTGCTTCGGCATATGTGTGAGATTTTGTTGCCTTTGGATTCTTCTAGAATTTTTATGGTTTCCTGTCATACATTTAAGTCCTTTATCCATTTTGAGTTTATTCTTGTGTATGGTGTAAGTTGGTGGTCTAGTTTCATTTTCTTGCATATATCTGTCCAATTTTCCCAACACCATTTATTGAAGAGACTATCTTGGCTCCATTGTATGTTCTTGCCTCCTTTGTCAAATATTAATTGAGCATATTGGTTCAGGCGGATTTCTGGGGTCTCTATTCTATTCCATTGATCTATATGTCTGTTCTTGTGCCAGTACCAGGTAGTTTTGAGAACAGTGGCTTTGTAATACAGCTTGATATCTGGTATTGAGATCCCACCTACTTTGTTCTTTCTCAGGATTGCTGCAGCTATTCGGGGTCTTTTTTTATTCCAGATGAATTTTTGGAGAGTTCGTTCTAGATCTGTGAAGTATGCCGTTGGTATTTTAATGGGAAGTGCATTGAATTTATAGATTGCTTTGGGTAGTATGGACATTTTAATGATGTTGATTCTACTAATCCATGAACATGGTATGTTCTTCCATCTGTTTATGTCTTCCTCTATCTCTTTTTTCAACGTAGTTCATTTTAAAGGGTCTGTGGCCTCCTTAATGCCAGCAGTAATATAAAAATACTGTCCCCAGAATACTATTTCCCTTTAATAAAAATTCATCAAGCGTTTATTCCTAAACTAGAGGCCCAATGCATGAAATTAGTGCATGGGTAGGGTCCCTAGGCCTGGCCTGCAATCAAGGCCAATCAGATTCCCCACCTCCCCATCTCTTCCTTCCCTCGTTCCCTCAGCACCACCCCCTCGTGGTCTGTGCACATCATAGCGAGCGATCAAACTCTCGTTCTCTTGGTGGAACTCCCAAGAAGACACTTTGCATATTAGCCCTTTATGTATAAAGATCTTTCTAAATCTTATGGAGCTACTCACATATGATTCCTTATGAACCCTTAGTTAACCAGTTATATGCATTTCCCATGACACATATAAAGTAGGTCCTTTCTCCACACAACCTATCTCTTTAAAATCACATTTTAGAGAATCTGAAGAGTCAAATTAGTAGCAGAGTGACCATGGATAAAACTTTCACCACGAAAGACTTAAGTTTCCCTCATCTGTAGTTGGAACACACACCTCCCAGGACTGTCATGAGAGCAGACATACCTGTAAGAGTCCCCACGATCCGTGCTGAGCCACATGCACGTTAGTTTGGACGTAGTGTATGAGTTCATCTTTGTTGACATCACTAACAAAGACAGAGAAGTCTTCTTGTTATTTCTCATCTCTGGTCACATGTTGGAATTTCTATGATTTTTAATCCCTGATACTTACCCAATCATTACGGAGAGAAAGGTGGGGGGAGCACATTAGATGCATTTGACCATGAACCCCCTGCCTTTCCCTCTGAAGTGCCAGCACAGAACTGCCATTTAATCACAACTTCAGCTCTCAGACCTGGTCCTCCCCTCAGTGGGCTCACAAATGGGGAAACCTGAGTGCAAAACACAGAGTCACACACAAATCCATGAGAGAAGAACAAAGTGAGTGCAGCTTTGTGAGCTACATGGCCTAGGAGGACAGACTTCACCCATCTTCACTGGATTTAGAGGAAGAGGGACTGGCCGTTCCTCACTGTAGCTGTTGCCACATGTCTAAGAGGCCTGTCCCAGCCGCAGGCTGAGTGCCCTGCACTCCCCACCCATGGTCAGGGTCCCAGGCACCTCAGCTCTGCCACTTCTATGCAGTCTTGTTTCCTGTAGTTCTGTTCTCCTTCCTGAAACCCAGCAGATCCCAGACGATGGGTACTGTACAATATTTTTATACCCTAGAGAGTTAAGGTTCTGGATTTCAAGGATGAAAATACAAGGATCCTACCTTCTAGGAATTCACACGTGGAAGGGGAGACACACGTGGGGAAAAATAAAAAGACTAAAGTTTGCACCAGCCACTAAGGGGAATGGCAGACACACTGACTAAGGATAGTGTAGAAGGTTCAGGACACAAAACTATAAACTGGTAATGGTGGCTGTTGGTTCAGTAACTTTTCTGTTAGAATGAGCTGGCAA